TAGGGATAAAGGTTGTTTTTTTTTTTTTTTTTTTTTTTTGAGACAGAGTCTTGCTCTGTCGCCCAGGCTGGAATGCAGTGGCGTGATCTTGGCTCACTGCAACCTCTGCTTCCCGGGTTCCAGCGATTCTCCTGCCTCAGCCTCCCGAGTAGAGGCTTATGCCACCATGCCTGACTAATTTTTTGTATTTTTAGTAGAGACAAGGTTTCACCATGTTAGCCAGCTGGTCTCGATCTCCTGACCTCGTGATCTGCCTGCCTTGGCCTCCCAAAGTGCTGGGATTACAGGAGTGAGCCTCCACGCCTGGCAGGGATAAGGTTTTGCCATGTTGGCCAGGCTGGTCTCGAACCCCTGACCTCAAGTGATCCAGCTGCCTGGGCCTCCCAAAGTTCTGGGATTACAGGCATGAACCACCACACCTGGCCAGTTTTCCTTCTCAATTTTTCAACACTGAATTTTACATATCGGAGATGATTGTAAATGCTGGATGTTACCACATAAAGTTGGATAGTACAGTGGTGGGATGCAGCAGCTACACATATGAACTAGAAAGAAAAATGAGCTGCTCCTTAGGAAGAACTGGGAGCTTAGTTTTAGGAGATAAGCACATAGTTTGGTGAGGAAGGAAGAGAACACTCACTGTAGTAGTCTATGTGGTGACATACCACAGTTATATTAGGTTCACAACTGATTGATTCACTCCAGTAATACTTAACAAAGTAATCCTGTTATATAGTTTACTAAAAGAAAATAAATGATAAAGTAAGATTGACTTGGGTTCAAATACTGTGCAACATACTATGTGCCTGTGGCAAGATACCGTCTATTTTGCTGAGCTTTTGTGAAAATATTGTTGAAGTACGGTTTCCTAGTACATGTTGTAGTGCCTAGTATAGTTCCTGGAATATATTAGGACCTGCAACATTTACAGCTATTCGTGTTCATAAGACTACTACGAATAAATATAATGACAAAGTAACTAGTGTAATTTTTTAGCATAATCATTTAAAACCTAAATGAAAAACAATAAATTTATTTTTAATATTTATTCATTCATTTTTGAGACAGGGCCTAACTCTTTCACCCACACTGGAGTGCAGTGGTGGGATCATAGTTCATTGCAGCCTTGACCTCCCAAGCTCAAGCGATGCTACTGCCTCAACCCTCTGAGTAGCTGGGATGATCGATGTATGCCACCATGCCAGGGTAATTGTGAAATGTTTTGTAGAGAAAGGTTCTCATCAGGTTCTCCAACCTGGAGGCTTGGCCCCTCAAAGTGTTGGGATTACAGGTGTGAGCCTTTGCACCCATCCAGTGAATTTATATGAACCTAAATGACTAGATTAAAAGGTCACTCAGTTCCCATTTATCTCATAGTGAAGCTGTGGGCAGCTCCTTTTAGTTGTTCAGATTTATTTTTCCGAACTTCTTGTATATTCTGGCACTTAGAAATATACAGTTTGGTCTGATATAAAGAAAGAAGATATAAAAACACAGATGTGTTAATAATTCAAAAGGCAGAAAATAAAGTATTAAAGGGCATTACATTTCCTGGGATGTGCATAAAAGTAATGGGAATAAGTTATATTTAATCAGGGGCATTGTAGAAAGTGAGTTATTAAGCATGACATCAAGCAGTCTTCTAAAACCAAATTATGAAATTTATCAAATTTCTGAATAATGAGGCATTCCTTTGCAAATTTAGGCCAGAACGTTTAAGGAAGTGTTCAGCTGAGGAAGATCTGGGTAGCTGGGCACAGGTGTCAAAAGTTCATTCTAACACTTATGCTGGAGATGCTGTGCATGAAATCACATCTAGAAACTCACAGAATTTTGCAAAAATATATTAATATTATAAAGGCATTCCTGAAGAGCTCAAAAGAAACAGTTATGGCAATAGGATAATTCTATTGGGCAATAGTTGTAGCCACAGGAAAGAAGCACACTCCTCCTGCGGTCAGCCCTTGAGATGTGGGCCTCAACTGGCAGCGTGGTATTTTCATCAAGGGCTACATGCAGGACCTCAATCACCTCCAGGCACCCAGAACTTCCAATAGTCTCGTCCAGCAGAGGAAGGTCAACAGGCAAGTTTTATATATTAATTACTTTTGTGGCAGAATACCTGAAAGCAGTGGCATGTGAACCTCATGAAGAGATTTCAGAAAGAGGGTGCAGGTGATGAAGAAGTGAGTGTCATTGCGATTCAGGGGTGCAATTAAAGTTTTATCTTGGAGATTGTTGTGATGTCTTCAGTCTTCCCTCGGGCTGGTTTATGACTCCCTCGAGAGTCCTTGTTATAGCATCCTTTCTTCCATCCATAGTTTCATGTAGTTTAGGGCAAATTGGGGCCCAGAGCAAAGGCAATAAGAATGTTTTGAAAGGCAGTGATGAGATGTCTATATGGAATTCCAGATAACTTCCTTTTGTTCGTAGGAAAAGTTCTAAAAAACTGATTTCTAGAAAGTTAGTTGTAATGTCCTCACTTTGATTTCTAATTTATGTTGCATCTTCTTTTTTCCTGAATCTAGCTAAAGTCTTGTCCACTTAGTTCATCATTTTGAATAACAAACTTTTGGTTTTGTTCATTTTCTCTACTGTTTTCTATTTTCTACTTTATTTATCCCTGCTGTAATCTTCATTATTTCCTACCATTTGCTAGCTTTGAATTTAGTTTGATCTTTTTGTAGTTTCTTATGGTGTAAAGTTAGGTTTTTGAGTTGAGATTTTTCTTCTTTTATAATGCAAGCCTTTATAGCTGTAAATTCCTCTCTTAGCACTGCTTTCTTTTCATCTGTAAATTTTGGTATGTTGTGTTGTCATTTTTATTTGTCTCAAGATAGTTTATAATTTCGCTTGTGACTTCTTCTGTGACTCATCGCTTGCTTTAGAGTGTGTTGTTGAATATCCACATATTTGTGGAGATTTTCGTTTTCTTTTGCTGTTGATTTACAGTTTTAGTCCATTGTGATTTGAGAAAGATATGTAAGATTTTAATCTTTCAAAACGATTAAGGCTATTTTGTGACCTAACATACAGTCTAGGCTGGAGGATTAAAATATTTTACTTAGAAATTTTGAGGTGTGTCAATTCATAAAACAAAGGGAAGAGAATGGCAAAGTCTTTAAAATCAAGCCCACAGACTGTGCAACATAGAGAGACCCAATTTCAACCAAAAAAAAAAAAAATTAGCCAGGCATGGTGGCATGTACCTGTGGTCCCAGCTACTTGAGAGGCTAAGGTGGGAGGATTGCTTGAGCCCAAGAGGTTGAGGCTGCAATGAGCTGTGATCAATCCAATCTACTCCAGCCTGGGTGACAGAGGGAGACACTGTCTAAAAAAACCCCAAACCCCAAACTGCGACAAAAGAAAGCCTAACACCTTTGAACCAAAAATAAAATAAAATAAAATAAAATAGATTACAGCTAGTATAATAGGGAAATTGAAGAAAATGCCATTTATAAATTCGAACAAGAGCTGAACCATGGCCACAATCTTCCAGGGATGACTTATTTCTGATTCCCTTCTGAGTGGCATCAGCTCTAGCTCTGGTTCATCCTTACCCGAGGATGAAGACCATTAGGGCACCAGCTTTCTGTGACCCCTTCCCTGCTTTCCCCGACCCCGCCCCAGGTTCCTATTTCCATCTCCTTAGCTAGGCATCGTCCTGAAGCATAAGGATTTGAACTGCAGCATAAATGGCCTTAGTGCTCACCTCTCAGGCTTTCATAAAAAATGACTTAGCCATTTTCTGTTCTCTTTTCAGATTGTCAATGTTTTCAAGTTTTTTTTTTTAATTTAGTATTTTTATTTGTTTTCAGCAAGATGGTAGATTGAAGTAATTCAACTTTCCATTACTAAAATCGGTATTTACTTAACATTTTAAATAATATCTCTCTTTGGTCTTCAGTTTATATTATTATTATTACTATTTTGAGATGAAATTTTGCTCTTGTTGCCCAGGCTGGAGTACAATGGCATGATCTCAGCTTACTGCAACCTCTGCCTTACAGGTTCAAGTGATTCTCTGGCCTCAGCCTCGCGAGTAGCTGGGATTACAGGCATGCACCACCATGCCCGGCTAATTCTTTTGCATTTTTATTAGAGACAGAGTTTCACCATGGTGACCAGGTTAGTCACGAATTCCTGACCTCAGGTGATCCACCTGCCTTCCCCTCCCAAAGTGCTGGGATTACAGGCGTGAGCCACCACATGCGGCCTGTATTATATTTTAGAGTCAAACTTGCTTTGTCTCTGGGACCTTTGTAGTAACCACTAGGAGTGGTTGATTATGGTGTAAGATAATTTCTAGAAGCACTTCTGTTCTGTAACCTGAGGTGCATTTGCGAAAAGACAATGCCTACGCTGTGCTTACAACCTCTTTCACAGAAACGCTATGCTTACACACATGCAGTTTCCTATGAGCTTCCATGGAATAGATTACTTAATTATAATTAGGCCTTCCCCTCTCACTGAACTTTTTTTACTTAACAAAAAGAAAACCTTGCAATTTTGTATCTCTATCACAAGACTGTGAATCTTATGAGAGAAGAAAATGTGTCTTACATACCTTTGGCTCAAACTCATTTCCTGGCTCAATGTTTGGTACATTGTAGGTACTGAACAATGGCAATAAAAATCAATAATTGAAAAATAAGGGAGATGATGTTTAAATATAAATGTGATAAAACTAGTTAAAGTTTTATAACAGGATATTTGCACAAGCCCTAAGATGAGGAAGACATAGCTCAGGTTTTTTCTAAAGCACAAAACTGTTTGAGTGAAGTGATGTTAAGGGGCTCTGAAGACCCCATTCAGCTTTTCTATCAATAAACAGGCTCCTAAGGAAATCTATAATTGTGGGAAAAAATGGTTTTCCAAATCCAATGATCAGAAAGTTCTCCTAGAAAATTGTTTTTTGTTTAACTAAAGAACTCACTCACATAACCAAACACCACCTGTTCCCCAATAACCTATGGAAATAAAAAATTTTAACAAAATATGTTTTATTTATTTTTAAAATAAATAATATGGGCACATAGTAAAGAATTTGAAAGCACAAAAGGGGTTGTGAAAAAAAGCCTCCTTTACTCTCTTGTTCCTTAGACACCAAATTCTTCTCGCTTGAAGCAGCCCTTTTTATCAGTTTCTTGGAGCTCTTTCAGGAGATATACACATTTCCGTGGAAGGCAACTACAATACACTCTGCTATTCACTTTGCTTTTTCCACTTAACGCTATGTCTTGGACATATTATATATCACTGCATATGGAACTGTTTCATAGTTTATAAATTGAAGACATGATATTCCATGCTATAAGTATAATGCACCATAGCTCGTTTTGCTAGTCTTCTATTAATGGGAACTGATGTTTTTCTTAATATTTTGCTATTACAACAATGCTGCAGTAAATATTCCTGTACTTTCATCATTTCCCACGTGTGTCAAAATATCTGTAGTCTAAGCACCTTCAAAGTTGAGTTGCTGTTTTAAAGGGTATGTGCCTTTGAAATTTTGAGAGAGGTTGCCTTGTCACCCTACATAGAGTTTGTAAAACTTATATGCCCATCAGGTAAGTGTGAGAGAACCCATTTCACAGTCCTCAGACATACAATGTGTTATCAAACTTTTTGATCTTTGTCAATTTAATAGGTAAAAAATGAGATATATTTATAGGCTTATTCTTTTATCTTTTTATGAATTAGTACCCTTTCCACATGTTTAAGAATCTTTCTGGACATTATTCGTTTATATCCTTTTGCTCATTTTCTTACTGGGATGCTGTTCTGTTCTCTTACTATTTTACAGAGCTTCATGTGTATTACGAAAACAACCTTATTGTGATATGACTGACAAATAAGTGAGAAGTCCTAAAGAGAAATTCAGGGTTAGCTTTCAAAGAAAAGGAAACTTGGACTAGTTAAAAGGGTGGTGGATAAAAACTTTTTTTTTTTTTTTTTTTGTAATTCTTAAAATCATCATCCTTAGCAAATTGCTTCCTGATTTCGAATTCCTGTTTATTTCACCTGAAAAACAGGCATTTGGCTTAGTGAAGACACTTCAATCTTAGCATGACCTTTCAGTCCAGGCCTAGATAAAAAGTTTGAGGAGAACTAGCGCAAGCTCTTAATACAAATTCTGAGTAACTATTTTTACTGATCTATAATTATTGGGTGCCTTCCATTAAAAAAAAAGGCCTAAATCTGTGGTCCTGGTTTTATCATTTATTTTACCATAAGTAACCTTTCCCTTGCTTCTCGCAGTGGAAGAGTCCTCAGGGATTCTTTGCCGCTTGCAATGAAAAGAAGAGCAGGTCAGGCCCGTATCCCAGTTATGTGTTTATGCTGGCCTCTATATCCACCTGTCTACAACTTGTGGACTTTTGAACACACGTGCTACATGATCATCTTGTGAAAGTGAAGGAAGAAGTGAGAATGTATGGAATCTAGACAGAATAGAAAAAACTTTCTGGTCATGATTGAAAAACTTGCATTAAACCAAAAGTAACTTACATCAAAAGTAAAATCTGGACAAAAATGCATAAAACAATTATTTGAAGGCACTCAGAGCAACTGACGTAGGCAAGACTTCATGGGCTACAGTCCAAGATAAAAGGAAGAAAAGGGGGGTGAGTTTCACATTCACCACGTGTTTTTCCCTGAAGATATTTGACCATTTAATGGTTGGGAGAGTATGAGACTGTGGAGGCGTTTGGGAAAGGAGTGGGGAAAGGAGAAATAAAGCTTGCGCAGAGAGCAGTAGTTTTACTGAACTGCGAAGGTAGAGAATTTGGTGTTTTCAGTCACCAAAGCAGCTGACATTTGAGAAACAAATCCTGGAGAGGGAGGACCACAGAAACTATGCTAAAAATGTGATGCAATTTCCCTTCAAGGCATTTTTGAATTTCTAAGCTGTATGTGTACATGGCGAGACCTCAAAATAGCTAGCAGAAACTAAAGCTGAGCGTGTAAAGAGCAAAGAAGAAGTTTCAAAGGTGCTGGGGTTCAAGAAGTAATGAAATAGGAGGCCAGAATCAGCTGCAGTGGAGGGGTCTTCTAAACACTCCAGATTTGCACCTGAGGTCTGAGAAAAGCTATGTTCCTGCAGCAAAAATCACAACCTTGGAGTAAAACTGAAACTAGCACAGACCATTTTAAAAACACATAGAAGTAGTGCTTAAATAGAATCAGTGTGATCTGCCTCTACTCCATCTACTGGCTAGAAGAAAACTTAACCTTCATGACCACACACATTGTAGTTTTTAAAATACAATGTCCAGTATTCAATTAGAAAACATTAAGGCATGCTAGATGACTGGGCAAATAATCAAGATCTGAAAGAAGAAATAACAGAAACATGCTCACAAGTGTTTTAGCTTTGGCCAGTGAGATGAACAATTAACTGTATAAAACCAGTTTTTTTTAGACTGCAAAATTAAAGAGATTAGTTACACAAGGACTTTTTCATTAACATTTTATGATCCCCAAAATTTCTTCAGAGCTTTTTTCATATCTTTGTTCCTAAGACTATATATCATAGGGTTAAGGAATGGGGTAACAACGGAATAAAACAGAGTCACAGTCTTCTGCTTTCCAGCTTCATGCTTAGATGTTGGGCTCCCATACATGACTATTACTGAACCATAGAACAGTGAAACCACAGCCAGGTGAGACCCACAGGTGGAGAAAGACTTTCTTCTCCCAGCTGCTGAAGGGACTCTCAACACAGCTCTCAGGACCAGAGCATAGGAGCCCATGATGAAGAGAAAGAGCATAAAGACAGGCAGGGGAGTTAAGATATTGAAGACAAGCTCTATCACAGGGGCTTTTTTGCAGGTGAGTGTTAGAAGAGGACCTGGGTCACACAGGAAGTGATCAATAATCCTGGATCCACAGAAGGACATTTGAGAGATGATGATGATAGGAATCAAGAACCAGATGAAACCAAGTACCCAGCAACTGACCACGAGATTGGTACAGAGATGTCTGGTCATAATGGTTGGATAGTGTAGAGGCTGGCAGATGGCCAGGTATCGATCAAATGCCATAACTGCCAGGAAGAAGCATTCTGTAGCACCCAAGGAGAAGAAAAAGTAGAACTGGAGGAAGCACCCAGAGAAGGAGATGATCTTGGTGTCAGACAGGAAGTTGGCCAGCACGTTGGGGACTGTGGAGGTGACATACCAGATCTCCAGGAAGGAGAAGTTGGCGAGCAGGATGTACATGGGGGTGTGGAGCCTCTGATCCCAGTGCACAGCACAGATGATGGAACCATTGCCCATGAGGGTCAGGAGGTATACAACGGAGAAGAGCACAAAGAGGAGGATCTTCCCCTCCCTGCGGCAAGGGAAGCCCAGGAGGATGAAGCCAGTGAAGGTGCTGGAGTTGCTGGGGATGTTGAAGATTTTCATGTGCTTGTGAGCTGTAAAAGCACCAGCAATTACTGGATGCCAGTGAAAGGATAGATGAGAACTCTGATTTATGTTTAAACTATCTCTGGGAATGCAATAAGCACATCTATCAATAGAGATCAATATCTATGTATCTATATCTATATCTATACCTATATCTATCTATATATTTGATCCAGGGTTTTGCTCTGTTGCCCAGGCTAGAGTACAGTGGTGCAATCATGGCTTATTGCAGTGTCAACCTCCCCAGCTCAAGCAATCCTGCCTCAGCCTGCCTGGTAGCTGGGACCACCATGTGGCATGTGCCACCATATCAAGGTAATTTTAAAATTATTTGTAGAGAAAGAGTCTTCCTATATTGCCCAGGCTGGTCTCAAACTTCTGGGGTCAGATGATCCTCATGCCTGACCTCCCAAAATGCTGGGATTACAGTCCTAAACCACCTGTGCCTAGCCAATATTGACTATTTTTGCCTAATCCTGAAACATTGTCCTCTTGGACAGTAGTTGTTGGTCTCTAAAATACACTACAAGTCAGTATCAGTGAATAAACACAGAAGTTTTCTTATTTTGAAATGTATGGAAACATACACAATACATAAATATATATCTTAATAAAAGATCATAAACAAAACATCATTGTAACTACCACTGAGATCAAGAAATAGAATATTGTGTCCTAGAATCTCCTCACATGCCCTATCCCATCACTCTGTCCCTCCCTCCCACCTGTCATAACACTCTTTCTTCTTTATGATCGTCACTTCCTGATTTTTCTTTACAATTTAATAACTAAGCATGTACCTCTAAACAATGGTATAGTATTAAGTCTTGCTCGTTTTTGTTCTTTGCATAAATGAAATACTGCTATATTTTTGGATGGTTTGTTGATTCAACAGTGAGTTTGTGAAATTCATGCTGTTGCATATGTCTGTATTCTGACAATTTTTTACTGCCCTATACTGTTACATTGTATGAATGAACCAATACTTTTTAAAAAGATTGAGATAGGCCGGGCGCGGTGGCTCACGCTTGTAATCCCAGCACTTTGGGAGGCCGAGGCGGGTGGATCACGAGGTCAAGAGATCGAGACCACCCTGGTCAAAATGGTGAAACCCCATCTCTACTAAAAATACAAAAATTAGCTGGGCATGGTGGTGCGTGCCTGTAGTCCCAGCTACTCAAGAGGCTGAGGCAGGAGAATTGCTTGAACCCAGGAGGCGGAGGTTGCGGTGAGCCGAAATTGCGCCATTGCACTCCAGCCTGGGAAACAAGAGCGAAACTCCGTCTCAAAAAAAAAAAAAAAAAAAAAAAAAAAAAGATTGAGATAGGGTCTCTCTCTGTCACTCAGGCTAGAGGGCAGTGCATCTTGTCTCACTGCAGCCATCCGGGCTCAAGGAATCTTCCCATCTTAGCCTCCTGAATAGCTGGGACCACAGGCATGTGCCACCACTCCCGGCTAATTTTATGGTGTGTGTGTGTGTGTGTGTGTGTGTGTGTGTGTGTGTGTGTGTGTGTGTGGTTGTTTGTTTTTTGGTGGCGACGGGGTTTTGCCATGTTGCACAGGCTGGTCTTGAACTCCTGAGCTGAAGTGATCTTCCTGCCTCAGCCTCCCACAGTGTTGGGAATTACATTCCTGAGCTACTGTGCCTGACCCAAACCATCACTTTTTAAAATATTCTACAACAGGTAAATATTTTGGTTTACTTCTTTTGGGACTATTAGGGATAATGTTACTATGACTATATAGTTTATCTCTCCTGGTTCACATGTACATGGATTTCTATTAGCTGGATCACAGGAGGTGTGTATCTTCATCTGTAGAAAATTAAGCTAAAGTTTTCTATAATTATTGCACTATTTTTCATTACCATTGGTAGTATATTAGAGTTCTTATTGTCAATATCCTTCTCTAACATTAAGCTCTGTATTTACTAGAGTCTTGAGAATGACACATAGACTGCATTTTAACAATTTCTTTTTCTCTTTTGGTAATATTACCCTGGATAATTCTCTCCTTGGAAGTACTTTTTATTCAGAGCAGTGGTTATAGCAAAACTCTTCTGCTTTCAAGAAAGAATATTGCAGAATTGATAAAGAAAACTCTTCCCAAGCATGGCTTAGGAGAATAGTTCAAGGCATGATGTAATTTATTGCCTTTCTAGGAAGTTCATTATCTGTTGAGGTGAATTCTGTTATCCATGCTATTATCTAAACCAGACATTAAATAATCCATGTTATTATTTAAACAAGACTTGCCCCTACCAAGGGAAAATTCTTTGAATTGTTTCACTCAACAGAATCTTCCTGAGCATCAAGTTTCAAATAGAATTTTGTCATGGGCTTGAAATCAGTTTGAGAAGTTACTTTATCAGAGGTGATTGGGCATTAGCACAGTGCTTTGTACTTAGAAAGCTTTTAATAAATATCCATAAAATGAATGAATAAATAGACTTTCTTATTTCCCAGAAAGGGATCATATCCGCACAATACTTGTGGGCAAGGCGGACTCAGATTGTGGGACTGTGGAACAAAGAACACTTGGGACTACTTGGAATCACTTTTATTTTTTGAGCTAGTGAACTAACTCGTTGATTCATGCTATTTGGTGATGCAGCCTACCAATTTCAGGAGTAAAACTTTCAAATTAATAGTAGGTAGCTGCTTCTTACTTCTGTTAAAATAGTTCCCCAGCCATCAAGGAGAGATAGAGCTGAGGGATAGGATCAGGTTTAATTTTAATTTTAATTTTGTCTTGTTGAAACAGGTCTTTGTCTGAGTTGGGAATATGAGTCTACAGAGTCAGTTGGTTCCTATTCTAGTTACATAAACGGTGGAACCTGATATTAGTGATCTAATGTTAAGATAGGCTTAGCAGGAGACTTCAAAAGAAGAAAAACATTTACATTTTTTGTTTCCTTTCCCAGTCACTGTTTGGGAACACCTCAGGCAGAATGACTTTGGGTGGTTATATTTTTGCATAATGGCTTTATGTTTTTTTGAGTTAGCAGTCTTAACCAGACTGTATTGTTACTCACCTTTTGTTACTTATCTCTTCTGTGCAGAAGAAGCTATGATGTTTACCCGCCACAAATCCCAGCTGGAGCAAATTAAAAAAAAAAAAGAAAGAAAAAAATCTAGCTGATTCACCCTGCATTGGCTGTAGAAGGCACTGTGAACATGGGCCCAACATTGGGTTTCTGTACTCAGGCTGCTTGGATCAAGTTAATTAACAAAAATGGCCTTAAAAAATCTGTTTACTTGTTAAATTAGCCAACCTCAGAAAGTGGGGTGAAGATAGACTATGACTGAATGAGCCAAACTGTGTCACATGCAGTGTGATGCGAAGGTATTTCTCTGGTTTTTTAATGTTCCCCCAAACTTCCATGCAGTAGAAGTCTGGGCACCTGGCTTGGTTGGCCCGTTCCTCAGCCAGCCCAGAGATGTCTCATCACAACACACGTTTCTCCTCTTGTTTTGTGCAGGTTCAGTGATGGGGCTGCCACGTCTGTGATGTTGGGTAATCTGTTGCCAGAAAGTACTTTAAAAAGTCAGGATAAGATAATTCTCCAGATTGGGACAAGTGGTAGGCAGCTGTACAAGATAGAAAAAATCCTGGATTAAAAAAAAAACAAAAAAAAAAAACCCAAAACCTAAAATGNAAAAAAAAACCCAAAACCTAAAATGCAATAAAATAAATAAATGGGGGGGGGGAGAAAAAATCCTGGATTTAGGGTCAAGAGTTTTTTTTACTCGTCATAGGAAATTAATACTCTCTTAGTTTCCTTAACTATCAAATGGGCATAATTATACCTTCCTTAAGAGCTGTTGTAAAGATTACTGTATGAGATGGAGTACCTTGACCAGTGACTGATCAGGAAGAGCTTAAGATATATTGGTTGTATGTATGTTGTGCTGAATTCAAAGAGAGTGTGGGTAGAGGCTATTAGATTCTGCAACTATACTATGACTTTTCTATTCTTCTAAACACTGTATAATTTTTTTTTTTTACCTGTATCAGCAAAGACAGTCCCAAACTGAAGGTTCTCAGATGTTTCTTTTTTATTTTCTTAGAGAGAAGTGGTAGTCTTTTTGGTAATAATTAGAGAGCAGAAAAAGGGTGGAAACTGTGATAAGGATTCCGATTTTGTTTGCTGAAGGATGGAGGGGTGTTAAATAGAGCCTCCCAGGAAGTAAGTTAGCTTGTATATTCTGATCCTTGAGGACACATTTACTGCTTTTAAAAGGAGAAGAGCGTCAAGAGATAGTTCTGTGCTTGTTACTTACTTCCCTTGGGGCATTCCTTAATTTCTGTTTATTTTTTCTAAGAAAACTGAAATAGTGTCTTTGTCTTGCTGCAAACCTCTCACAGGTGGAACAAAATATTAGTTAATCAATGGACTGATTAATCAATCAACCAATAACATGTCTCTAACTCCCTGTGTCTACCATGTAGCCAATGAAAAAAATCTTACAAGCTCGAAGGTAGAAATACAGCCCCAGACATCCATAACTTATTTGATATTATAGCAAACCTCTAAGATTTTCAAACTGGTCTGATACTCATAGCTATTTTCTTTTTGGACATAATCTCTTGGAATACAACCTCAGTCAATATCTCTCTGAGATAGTAATAAAATGAGACAAAAGAAGGCCACTTCATTGTTTTGTCTAAGCATAGACAAAAACAAAGTTACTGCTATCCGTAAAATATCAGACATTCTCTGTAAAACGAGTGACTGTTATCTTTCAGAAAAAAGGGAAAAGAGAAGCTTTATTCTCTTTCTTCTCTGTTTTCTCTATGGATTAGATTTGTTAAAATACCTAGTCATACAAATATCGAATGCGTGTGGGGCTTAAAACATAGATGACGGGTTGATAGGCACAACAAATCACCATGGCACATGTATATCTATGTAACAAACCTGCACATTCTGCACATGTATTCCAGAACTTAAAGTAAAAAACAAACAAAAACTCTAGTCATAGAATTGCCCTTGCTTTCTGACAACATCCAGTTGGAGCGAACTACTACTTCCTTAGACCCTCCCCGAAATCACCCAATCATAGCACAAATCCTATAATAGGTTCTTTCTAACATCTTCATACTGAGGCATCTCAGAGTTCCCCCATGAAATATGTTATCCTTTGCTACACTGAGTGATGAATGCAACTTGCTCATCAGGTATTCCTGAGATTTAGTCAGTGCCTGACTGAATGGCACTGACAAACCTAACATAGAATAAGGTGGCTGTGAAGCAGAAAGTCTTTCCCTGAGACTTCATTTAGTCCTCTCTAAGAAGACAGCTACAGCCAGGGACATTTTCCAAGTCCAAGGATGTTCCTAGCTATAGCCAGTCAAACCAGAATGCTCTTTGACTGGATGTAACTGGAGCAAGGTGCTGAGATTTCCTCATCCTTTTCAGAGGAGCAGATCATTTAACACAACTGATATCTTATCTCTTCATTCTCCCTACTATGGTAGAAGTTTTCATTTAAAACACTGATGAATTTAGCTCACTTTCCTGTTTCCATTTATATTTCAAAGTCTTCAGCCTGGCAAATATGGCACTCTGCAGTGAAGCCTTCTTCACTTTTCTGTCCCACTTCCCTGACTTTCTGGCAGATGTCTCTACACGTTGGTAGAACCAAACCATCCAAGCACGCACTGGGAGCTCCAACAACATGTGTTGGAGTAATTTTACCCTCCAGAAAATGTCAAAGAGTAGTTAGTCCATTGGGCTTCTATGAGAAAATAACATAAACTGGTTAGCTTGTAAAAACAGAAACTGATTTCTCAGTTCTCGAGGCTGGAAAGTCTAAGATCAAGGTGCCAACAAATTCACTCTGGGGAGGGCCTGCTTCCTGGTTCAAATATGGTGCCATCTTGCTGTGTTCCTGCATACTTGGTGGAAGGGCAAGGGGTTTCTTGGGTTTCTTTTATGAGGGCACTAATGCCCTTCCTGAAGGGGCTGTCCTCATGACTTAGTCACCTCCCAAATACTCCACCTCCTAATACCATCACTTTGAGGGTGAGAATTTCAGTGTATGACTTTTAGGGGAACATAAACATTTAGCCCATTGCAAGCACCATTATGATATAAATGTCTTGCAGTGGGAGGGTGAAGCCCTGTGAGGAAAGTGACCTGGACAAGTAGATGAGGAGGTTGATCAGTTTAATAGTGTTCAGGGGTATCTGTATTACTTTGTCTGTTTTATGTTCTTTTTATATTCCTTTTCCATTTTGGAGATTGATCTGAGAATATATATATATATATATATCTTTATTAAGAAAATTTCTATTTCCATAGGTTTTTGGGGGAACAGATGGTGATTTGGTTACATGAGTAAGTTCTTTAGTTATGATTGGTGAGATTTTGGTGCACCCATCACCCAAGCAGTATACACGGAACCCAATTTGTAGTATTTTATCCCTCACCCCCTTCCCACTCTTTCCCTAGGAGTCCCCAAAGTCCATTGTATCATTCTTATGCCTTTGCATAGCTTAGCTCCCACTTATGAGTGAGAACATACGATGTTTGGTTTTCTATTCCTGAGTTACTTCCCATAGAATGGTAGTCTCTAATCCCATCTAGGTTGCTGCGAATGCCACTAATTAATTCCTTTTTTAAGGCTGAGTAGTGTTTCATCACATATATATCTCTCACAGTTTCTTTATCCATTCGTTGATTGATGGGCATTTGGGCTGGTTCCACATTTTTGCAATTGCTAATTGTGCTGCTATAAACATGCAGATGCAAGGATCCTCTGGATAGATACCCAGTAGTGGGATTACTGGGTTAAATGTAGTTCTACTTCTAGTTCTTTAAGGAATTGCCACACTGTTTTCTGTGTGGTTGTACTAGTTTACATTCCCACCAGCAGTGTGGAAGTGTTCCCTTTTTACTGCATCCATGCTAATGTCTGTTATTTTTTGATTTTTTGATTATGACAATTCTTGCAGGAGTCAGGTGGTATTACATTGTGGTTTTGATTTGCATTTCCCTGATTATTAATGATGTTGAGCATTTTCTCATATGTTTGTTGGCCATTTGTATCTTCTTTTGAAAATCATCTATTCATGGCCTTAGCCCACTTTTTGATGGGATTGTTTTTTCTTGCTGATTTGTTTGAGTTTGTATTAGATTCTGGATATTAGAATTCAGCTTTGTTGAATGTACAGATTGTGCAGATTTTCTTTCACTCTGTGGGTTGTCTCTTTACTTTGCTGATAGTTCCTTTTGCTGTGCAAAAGTTCTTTAGTTTAATTAAGTCCCATGTATTTATCTTTGTTTGTATTACATTTGCTTTCGGGTTCCTGGTCATGAAATCCTTGCCTAAGCCAATGTCTAGAAGGACTTTTCTGATGTTATTTTCTAGAATTTTTATGATTTTTTGGTCTTACGTTCAAGTCCTTGATTCATCTTGAGTTGGTTTTTTGTAAGGTGAGAGATAAGGATCCAGTTTCATTCTCCCACAAGTGGCTAGCAAATTATTCCAGCACCATTTGTTGAATAGGGTGTCCTTTCCCTACTTTGTGTTTTTGTTTGCTTTGTCAAAGATCAGTTGGCTGTAAATATTTGGATTTATTTCTGGGTTCTCTGTTCTGTTCCATTGGTCTATGTGCCTATTTTTATACCAGTACCATGCTGTTTTGATGACTATGGCCTTAAAGTGTAGTTTGAAATCACATAATGTGATACCTCCAGATTTGTTCTTTCTGCTTAGACTCGCTTTGGCTATGCAGGCTCTTTTTTGGTTTCATATGAATTTTATGATTGTTTTATCTAGCTCTGTGAAGAAAGAAGGTGGCATTTTGATGGGAATTGCATTGACTTGGTAGAATGCTTTTGGCAGTATGGTAATTTTCACAATATTGATTCTACCCATTCATGATCATGGGATGTGTTTCCATTTGTTTATGTTGTCTATGATTTCTTTCAGTAGTGTTCTGTACTTTTTCTTACACAGGAACACTCCTTTGTTTTCTACCTCCTTGTTTAGGTATATTCCTAAGTATTGTGTGTGTGTGTGTGTGTGTGCATGCGTGTGTGTGTGCGTGTGTGTATGTGTGTGCAGCTATTGTAAAAGGGGTTGAGTTCTTGATTTGATTATCAGCTTGGTCACTGTTGGGGTATAGCAGGGCTACCGATTTGTGTACATTGATTTTGTATCCTGAAACTTTCCTGAATTCATTTATCAGTTCTAGGAGCTTTTTGAAGGGGTCTTCAGGGTTTTCCAGGTATGCAGTCATATCACCAGCAGAGTGCTTGACTTCCTTGTTACTGATTTGGATGCTCTTTATTTCTTTCTCTTGTCTGATTGCTCCAGCTAGGACTTCCAGTACTATGTTGAATAGAAGTGGTGACAATGGGCATCCTTGTCTTGTTCCAGTTCTCAGAGGGAATGCTTTCAGCTTTCCCCCATTCAGTATTATGTTGCCTGTGGGTTTGTCATAAGTGGCTATTTTTTTTTTTTTTTTTTTT